TGTGATGCATCCTGAGTAACCTTCCACTCCTCTGAGAACATTTCAGGCTTTGTGATGGCTGGCTTTTCATAGATTTACCTTACTCCATGAGGCCTAGCTGCCGTAAATAAAGTCCCCACTCCCTCACTTTTGATGAATTTTTAAAATTCTTGAGTTGTAGAAAAGTTGCAAGACTAATAGAGAGAACTCATTTTCTTTACCTAGAATCATCAACTTTTAACATTTCGCCACATTTCCTTTGTGTCTTGGTTTTTTTCTCTGAAGCTTTTGAAAACAGGATGCATATATCATACTCCTTTGCCTCAATATTTCACTGTGTATTAGAACAAAGATAATTTTCTTCTACAACCACAGTACAGGCACATTCAGGAAATTTTACACTGATGTACTACTGTAAAAGTCTGTGTTTCTACACCAGTGTTGATTGCAGCATTTTTCAAAATAGCCAAAAGGTAGAAATAACTGAAATATCCATCAGGAGATGAATGGATAAGCAAACTGTGGTATATGCATACCGTGGGATATTATTCAGTCTTAGAAAGGAATGACATTCTAATGTATGCTACAACATGAATGAGCCTTGAAAACATGATGCTAAGTGAAATAAGCCAGACACAAAGGACAAATGTTGTATGATTCCACTTGTATGAGGTACCTAGAAAAGGCACAGTCACAGAGACAGGAAGTAGAATGGTGGTTACCAGAGGCTGGGAGAAGGAGAAAATGGGCAGCTACTTTTTGGTGGATATGGAGTTGCTATTTGGAAAGATGAAAACATTCTGCAGATGGATAGTGAGGATGATTATATAGCATTGTGAACACACTTAATGCCACTGAACTATACACCTAAAAATAGTTTAAATGGTAATTTTGTATTTTATCTCAATTTTTTAAAAGTTTCAAATTCTGTGACTTGTTCCAATAATGTATTTTATAGCATTTCCCCCTCCAGTTCAGGTTCACCCATTGCACATGTAGCATTTAACTATTATGTCTCCTTATGAAGGTGATGGAAAAAGGCAATGGCAACCCATCCGGTACTCTTGCCTGGAAAATCCCACGGACAGAGGAGCCTGGTGGGCTGCGGTCCATGGGGTCGCTAAGAGTCTGACACGACTGAGTGACTTCACTTTCACTTTTCACTTTCATGCATTGGAGAAGGAAATGGCAACCCACTCCAGTGTTCTTGCCTGGAGAATCCCAGGGACGGCGGAGCCTGGTGGGCTACTGTCTATGGGGTTACACAGAGTCAGACATGACTAAAGCGACTTAGCAGCAGCATGAAGGTGACGAATTCATTCCTGTTGCCTCGACTTTTCCCATCTTAACCTTGCAAATGTTGAATCCTGGGAAACCACTCAGTCCCAGACAAACAGGGATGGTTGGTCACCCTACTCTTTAGTCTCTTTTGATCTGTAACTATTCCTCAGCCTTTGTCTTTTATTGCCATTTTTAAAGAAATTGGTTCAGTTATTTCATAGAATATTTGCCCGTTTGATTTTACCTAATGTTTTCCCAGGTTATGCATTTCTGGTTGGGGTACCATTTTAGAAATGTTGCATCCTTTCAGAGTACCTCAGAGTCACAAGTGTCCCTTTGCCCTGCATTGGCATCTTAATTTTTATCATGGACAAGGTGTGGTCCAGTTTCACAATCATGGACTTACTACTTTCTTCCCTGTACATTCTTTTTTTTTTTCCTTCAGTTTTATTGAGCTATAATTGACATATGGGCTTCCCAGGTGGCTCAGCAGTAAGGCATCCACCTGTGGATGCGGGAGACGTGGGTTTGATTCCTGAGTTGGGAAGAGCCTCTGGAGTAGGAAATGGCAACCTACTCCATTATTCTTGCTTGGAAAATTCTATGGACAGAAGAGTCTGGTGGGCTACATTCCATGGAGTCGCAAGGAGTTGGACACGACTGAGTGACTAAGCTATACACACAATTGACATACAGCACTGTATAAATTTAAGGTTCACAGAATAATGATTTGACTGTGGTGACCACAGATGATGAACACAGAAAGAACATGCATCATCTCACATAGATACAAAATTAAAGAAATAGAAAAATTTTTCCTTGTGGTAAGAAAGATTAGGATTTACTCTCTTAACAACTTTCATGTATAACATATAGCAGTGGTTGTTATATTTATCACGTCGTACATTACTTCCCTAGTGCTGATTTATCTTACATTTGGAACTTTATACTTTTTGAATGTCTTCATCCAATTCTACTCCCAAGCCCCCATGTCTGGTAAACACAAATCTAATCTCTTTTTCCATAAGTCTGGTTGGTTGTTTTTGAAGAATAATTGACATACAATACTATGTTAGTTCCTGGGACACAGCATAGTATATTTCTATACAATTTCCTATTCTAGATATTTCTATGTATTTCAAAATGATCGCCATAAGGCTAGCTGCCACTCTCCCAATATATTTTTAAAATAAACATTTATTATGGTATGTAAATATTCCTCACAGCCTGAAAGAGCCTGTTAATCGTTTAGTTGTTCTGACTCTTTGCCACCCCACGGACTGCAGCCCACCAGGCTCCTCTGTTCATTTCCTCCTCCAGGGGATTTTCTTGATCCAGGGATCAAACCTGGGTTTCTTGCATTGCAGGCAGTTTCTTTACCATCTGAGCCACCAAGTAAGCCCTGAAAAGCCTGAGAAGAAGCTAAACATTTGATAGAAAGCATCTGACAGCGTCCTTGTACTTGACAGAAGCAAGCATTTCAGGATCTCCTTTCCACTGTCATCACAGGCCACAATAAACCACTTTATTCCCACTCCTTCCCTCTTTGGCCACTATACGTTTTTTTTAATTTATCTTTATATAATTTTATTTAGTTACTTTTGGCTGTGCTGGATCTTCGCTGCTGCTCAAAGGCTTTCTCTAGTCGCAGTGAGTTGCGGCCACACTCTAGTTGCAGTGTGCAGGCTTCTCACTGCAGTGGCTTCTCTTGTTGCAGGGCATGGGCTCTAGTTTTGTGAACTTCAGTAGTTGCGGCAAGAAGGCCCTAGAGCATGTGGGCCCAGTAGTTGGGGCACATGGGCTTAGTTGCCTCTTGGCATGTGGGATCTTAGTTCCCAGACCAGGGATCGAACCCATGTCCCCTGCATTGGCAGGTGGATTCCTAACCACTGGACAACCAGAGAAGTCCCACTGAGGAGAAAGACTTTCCAAAATGCAAATACTTTCTGAGGAGAAAGACTTTTCAAAATGCAAATACTTGTTTCTATACAACCCCCTCTTTTTAAAAAATTCTTGGCTCGACTGGTGAAGAGTACAAGTCCTCCTGTTTGAATTTGGTGCCTTGATTCTCATTCTTAAAGGGAAGAGTGTTTTCTTGTGAAAAGCACAATATTTATGTGTAGCAGAGACCTCTACCCTTTTTTATTGACAGCCCCAACTGCCTTCAGAGTTGTTGTATATTTATTTAGAAAGTGATCGGTTGAGATGAACCCATCTTCTTTATGAATTACTCAATCAGGTAAACAGTGAACTCTTCAGAAGCACTAGCAATCACCGGAGGCAAGGCTTTGTGGGGAAAGAGGTGGATGAGCAAAGGTTTCAGAACTGTTTGAAGGACACAGAAGCCTTCAGAACCTGGGAGCACTGTGACCTGGAATTCAACCATAGCCCTTATCACAGGCCAACATGCCACAGAATCTATTTATCTATTATGTTTTCTGCTTGTTCTCTACCTCTATGTGCTAAAATGAAGAAACCCTCTGAAGCCAGGGAATCTTAATTTTTGTTCATAGACTGTGGTGCTCCTCCATAGAGGAGCTCATTCAATTAAAATTTATTGAATGAATGAATGAACTTGTTCATGAATGAATGAATGAACTTGTTCATGGAGGTAATTAACATAATAATGCCCCTGATTGCACACCTAAAAATGGCTAAAGTAGTAAATTTTATGCTGTGTATATTTTGTCACTTAAAAAAAGTTTTAAAAAGTCATCTGACATGAGTAGTCCTGGATCGTTCATATACAGTTGACCTTGAACAACACAGGTTTGAGCTGTGCAGTTCCACTCATATGCAGATTTTTGTTTCCATAGTAAATACTACAGTGCTACATGATCTGCCATTGGTTGAATCCATGGTTTCTGAACTGCGGATATGGAGGGCCTTATAGGTGGATTTGCAACTACAAGGAAGGTCAGTCCCCCAACCCCCTTCTCCACTCCTCACATTGTTCAAGGCTCAACTGCATTGGAAATTACCACAGTATAACTGTTCTACTAAGGAATCAATCCAGACTAGTTCTTCATTCCAAGAAATGATGGAGGATCAGTCAGTTTCAAAGCCCCTTGATGCAAGTTTTTTCTTTTTTATCCTACTAATCATGAAATTTCTTTTTTTAAAAAATTATTTATTTGATTGACTTTTGGCTGTGCTGGGTCTTCGCTGCTGCTCGGGCTTTTCTCTAGTTGCAGCGAGCGGGGCCTACTCTCTAGTTGTGGTGCACGGGCATTGTGGTGGCTTCTCTTGTTGCATAGCACAAGCTTAGGATGCTCGGGGTTCAGTAGTTGCAGCCCGCATGCTCTAGAGCACAGGCTCAGTAGTTGTGGGCTTAGTCGTTCTCCTGCATGTGAGATCTCCCCAGTCTAGTAATTGAACTTGTCTCCTGCTTTGGTGGGTGGATTCTTTACCACTGAGCTACTAGGGAAGCCAACTCAGGTTTTAAGTTTTTGGTTTTATTGGGGATGGGGGGCTGTGTGTGAAGGATGAAGAATAGCAACCCCTTTTTGCTTATAATCTTTTCTTGACATTCTCCTAACACACACCTCACTATCATTCCACCAGAGATTTGAAGAATGGAGTCTTTGAACCCTAAAATTAATGACAGAATAGTTTTGCTTTCCCCATTTCACATGGGGAAAGGCAGGAATTCAAATTCAAAGGTGAATTCGCATTTTCTGCCAGTATTCTTGGTCATCCACCTTCAGCTGAGCACTAGGGTGCTGTGGCAACAGGGAGCTTGGAAACCGCCTGGTTGGAAAGTATTGCATGTGCCTCTTCTGTTCTCAGATCCTTCTTCCCCAGCAGTGACGAGCCCATGCTTGCCAGTGATGAGGTCTAAAAAGCACAGAATCAAGAATTACAGTTCAGAGAAGTTCTGTGAGACAGACTGGACAGGGAAGATGCACCTACATTAACGGTCCACTCTGGGCAATTTTCTGCTTTAGTGTTCACAAAATGCTTTGTGATCTGCAGGTAAATGTGCAGGCTCTGCGAAGTGGAGCATACAAATGGCTCCTGGTAAAAGCCTTAAGGATCAAAGCTATTTTCTCTCTGCCCTTTGAACTATGTAGTTTACTTTTTAAATTTGAACGCTTTCACACAAGTTGTGATGACGACATGAGTGCGAATATACCATGCCCCTTCTGAAAAGATCCTGACGTAGAAAAGTCTTCACCCCAGCTCTGACTCTTCTCTGAGGCTTGGGAGGAAAAGAATGAAAGGGATGCTCATTCATACAAGACTTTGAAAATATATTGGGCACTCAGTTAAAAATACTCTATTAAATTTGACACCTAAGTCAATAACTGAGGAAATAGTAATGAAAAAGATTTTATAAAAGGTAGAAACGATGAGTGCCAAGTCCCATCATTTACAAATTTTCTGCCTTCTGTGCAAATGTGGATTCAGATGAAGAAGCAACGAGCAGATCTGGGACATCTTTGTACTGTTTTAAGTGTTTTTACACATTTTATGTCATTTAACTTATAGCCATATCTACATGTATCTATGTAGATTAGGAAATTGTGACTCTTTTCTTGAGGCAAACAATTTGGCTCTCAACTAAGAAATTTTCTCTCTCTCCTTCACTCCCATTTTTTTCTTTTATGAATTATAGAAACAAGCCCTTCTTACTTTATCTTAATGTTATGCTTCTAAGACTCAGATACATTTTTCAGGATTGTTAACAAGTAGAAAAAGTATGTTTGTGTTATAAGGTTAATTATGTCAAACTTTAATTATACCAAACACTGAGCCAATATTTTTAATAACTATATTTTATTGTAACTATACATTTTAGTTAGAATGTCACTACTGTATTTAGTTTAATTGTATGTTTTGATTCTGAATTGCAATAAAAATGCTGGGTTTGAGCTAAAACTGTCACGGAAGTGGGTAGGAAAGTTGCAAAGAAAGTCAGGATAAGTACTAGTCAGTGGGAATCAAGCTTTTAGAAGAATGGAATATTCAACTTGCCCCTCACTCCCAACAAACTCAAGACACATTTTCCAACTCTCATTTTGGTAAGAAGTGTCAATGACCACAGTGGCTGTATGCAGATTATTTCAGAACATAACCTTGATTGATGTGAGTAGTGTATTATTAACAATTTTCATTCTAAGCAAAACAATTTAGCAAAAAAATGTAGATAAAGATAATTTTTAAAGTATTATACTAAATAATACATAGGTCACTGCTATATGACTTATTCAATAATATAACTCCACTCAAAAACTTATGTACACTCCCCTTCATGTAGAGACTATTTATTATTGCAGTTCCCACTCCAGTGAACATAATAAATAACTGTGGAGTTATTTAAAGTTATTGATCAGTACCTCTGGAGGTGTATATAAATAGGTAAGTTTCAGGAGAAGATAGAGGATTCTGTGTATATGAACTATAAGAAATAGGAATTTATTAGCATGTAAAATCTGGAGCACAAATATCTGAATTTCAAGAATCTGTTCTAACACTTAATAACTGTATGACCTTGAGGAAATTCATTTTCAATTGTAACACAAGGAGAAAAATATTACTTTCCTTCCAGCACTGCTGTGATGTTTTGAGAATAAGTGATAAGGAAAAACATTTTTTAAAGCTAAAACACCATAGATAAGTTATAATAATAAATGCTTTTAGCAAGATTCAGACTTTTGTTTCCATTAAAATTTTTATCTAAAAATAAGTTGCCAAATACTCATTTAAAAAATCAGAAAAGTAAATATAAGGAGAAAAAAAATCCATAGTGCTGCCATCTTCCTTCACCTTCAAGTCTTGCTCAAATATCACTTTTTCGGTGAAGCTTTTCAGGACATTGGGTTTAAAATTGTTGCACGACCATCTCTACACACATGAACACTAGGCACTCACCGACTATAGCATTTTGGGTCATGTGACCCATTATTTAATTTATTTGTGTACTGCCTATGTCCCTCAGGAATTTGAGCTACATAAAGTTAAGGACTTTTTTCACTTTGTTCACTGTTGTATCCCATTGTCGTCTCTAATCCCTGTCCCCCAGTATTCAATAAATGTTTGTTAAAAAAAAATCAACAAATCTAAATACAAGTACTATAAACACTTAGATGTGTTTCTGGCAGCGTTTTTAAATTTTAAATGCAGTGAGTGTTGTTATTTTTAACCTACAGAATATAAGTAACATTTATTGAATGCCAGATACTGTGCTAAGGATTTTACCTACTATTTTTTCTTGTTTTGTTTTTTAAATTTTTACCTACTGTTTTAAAATTTACTATGTGAACAACCCTGAGTGATATTATCCGTGATTTACAAATGAGAGAACCAAAGGCTCAAAGTGTTAGGCAATGTTGTTCATCATCAAGCTTCCAGTAAATTAAAACTGGATACAAACCAGTGTGTGACTTTCACAACATCATTGTGCTCTGGAGTTGTACTCTTGCTGTGCTTTTATTTGTATCCATCTTTTTCTACTTCCTTTTATGTCCTAAGTATTTCCTCATGTTATCACGTTTAATTTCCTACTTCAATGGCCGAAGCTAACTGCATATACAAGGCTCATATTGGAGACAGCAGTAAAATGTGGTGGTGGCTGACGGTCATAAATATCTATCCCTTAAGTGTTCAGTTCTGAGCTTTACCTAAAAAATTATATTTAATCTAATATCTGTGTTTTCCTAGAAGCCCCTCCCTATTCCTGTCTACTTACTCACATTTGTATTAGTTGGAATTCCTGGACTTAACCTATCTGCTCAAGCGTTTTGCTTTTTAGGGGGTGATTTATGAGAGAATGCTGAACTGACTCAGATTTGAAGCCGAACAGCTAAGCCTTGGAAAGCTGTCAGTTGGACCCTGGCCATCAGGGCTCCCTCGCCATCTCCTGCCTCTTAGTGCCTTGCTCTCAGACCAGCTTCCTCCATGGGAGTACAAGACATAGCTGCCTTGGATGGACATCCTTGCAGCTCTTTGACCAAAGGAAAAAGGAATATCTTTCTCCAACTCAAGTTTGAAAGATATTGGTAACAAGGCACTGGTTGAACTGGTTGGGACCCTGTGCCTATCCAGGGATGGACGGATGTGCCCAGGGGAGTGGAGAACAGAAACTGACTCAGCTTGGGCTATGTGCCCTTTCTCTGAAGCACTTCACAGTTAGTAGCCCTCACATGATTTTAAGGATCATTTCCCCCCAAAAATGTCTGTTCTGAACAAAATATTGAAAGTTCTACTATACTTCAACCAAATCGAACGCCACCATCTTCCCTAACCACTTCAGGCCTCATTCACTCTCTGTGAAGAAAAATTCATGGAACACTTATCATGTGGTAGGCACTGCTAGGTTCATTTGATCAGTCAACAAGGTTTATTCTCAAGTACCATATATTAATGCATATATATGAAATCTGGAAAAATTGATGTAGATGATCTTATTTACAAAGCAGAAGTAGAGACACAAATGTAGAGAACAAATGTATGGATACCAAGGGGGAAAGGGAGGGAAGGGATGAACTGGAAGACTGGGATTGGCATATAAACACCACTAATACTATGCATAAAACAGATAACAAATGAGAACCTACTGTAAGCACAGGAAAGTCCACTCGGTGCTCTGTGGTGACCTAAATGGGAAGGAAATCCAAAAAGGAGGGGATATTTGTGTATGTTTAGCTGGTTCACTTTGCTGTAGAGTAGAAACTAATACAACATTATGGAGCAACTCTACTCCAATAAAGACAAACAAACAAACAAAACCCAAAAAGTTGATTCACAGCCTCCTATGCCAGGCATCTTGCTAAGCTGCTGGGGACCCAACAGTGAGCAACAGGTAGATCTCTACCCTCTAGAACTTATACCCTGTGGGCCTGACAGTCAATAAACAGTAGATAAATGACACAATCATAGATTGTGAGAAGTCATAAACAGGGTGCCATAATAAGAGCGTAATGAGGGTAGCTATGGGGAAGGGGTCTGCAGAGCTGATAATAGAACTACCACCCAGCTCACAGAGGCTGAGCCCATGAAGGTCTGCTAAATTGAAAGAGAAACTAGAAAAAGGAATGTCTAGCTTAGGGTAAAAATAAAGGAAATTTTTTGAATGTTAAGAACTGCTGGTTAAAGGAGGTCATACTCCCTTAGGAGTTTTGGAAAAAACACATCATTTAACAGTCATTAAGAAAAAATGTGTGACCCTAGGAACTGTAAAGTTCACAAGGCTTCAATACACATTTCAAAACAAGCCCAAGAAATAACAATCAAATGTGTCATTGCTATACAACTCATTCAAAAACAAATCCACAACAAAAGGAGAAAAAAAAAGCTGTTTCAGAGTTCACTTACCTAAGCACCAAAGAACAAAAAGGCTCCTCTGAAAATCCACATGGCATGTTTATTTCTTTAAAATGACTTCACCTCTCCACCCCATACATTTGTTTGTTTATATGCCTAACAAATACATACAAAGAATTAAGATTTGTATTCTGAGATTGTTCTCAATACAATATCAAACCACATAGTGTCATGAACTTGCCCTCTCTACACACATAAACATGCTCTCATGCATAAAAGCAGCTTCATATGGAAAAGGTATGAGTTTATAGTCAGAAAGTGCTATGTCCCAATTCTAAGTGGTTCTACCACTTATTAGCTGCGTGACTTTGAGCAACTTATTTAACCTTCCCAGACCTCATTTTTCATTTGTAAAATGGAGATAACAATAATAACTTCATGGGGTGTTCTGATATTTTTATTAAATGAGATCTATGGTGCTAAGCAGTATGTGAATCAGAGTAGGCATTCAATAGATGGTATTTATTAAGATTCAGTTTTTGATTAGGCCTGGACAAGACACAATATCATTTTGACTACTCTTGTATTCTATGAAAAAATTAAGTTAGTGCATTTTCTTTGTTTGCTAGTGATTCAGACCACATCAGAAATATTAGTTAGATGACAGCTACTATTTCATTAATAGGTCAGGAATAATTGGAACAGATCCAGCTATGAAATAAGTTAAAAACATTAGCAATGCTTTTTTTTTTTTTTTTTGGTTCCTTCTGCTATACACTAGAATAGACGAGGGATTAGTTTAATTATTTATGTGTGAATGGGAGACCCAGAGAACGTTCAGTCAAGGCAGCCTTTACAGGTCAGAGGAACCTTGGCCATCTGTATGAAAACTCTTGCCTTCCTGTGTGTTCTGCTCATTCTTGAATTCACAGTCTGGCCCAAGGTGCTCTCATTACTCACTCCATCTGCTATCATTGCTCTGGTTTTAAGGAAAGGGAGTTCATTGTTCTTTCGTTACATCAGCAAACAACACTTACTCTGGAATGTCTTAAGTTCTTATCCTTTTATAAATACCTCCAAATCTCCCTTAAATCACACTACCTTGGACATGGAAACCTTGTATCTTACAGTTAGCTAGTCCAGGTCCATTAAAGTAGAAATCCTGCTTGAAGAGATGAGACAATCAATTCTTTAAGACACAGTCAAGTCCTTATGGGTAACTCTAATCTTAAGAAAGGTTTTCATTCAACAGTTCACAGAGGTTATCTCTTAAGAATAGAAATAGAGGAAGGTGAGTAGCAGAGAAGGGAAGAGAAAGCAAGAGGGAGATTTTTACATTTCATTCCCTTAAATTTGGTCAAAATTATTTCTAGAATTACATGGGGTAAATCTAATGCTGCCTCCAAACAACACTTTCAAACCTTCAAAGGCAACTACTTGCTCTTTCTTTGTCTTCTCGTTTTCAAGCTAAAGACTCCTAGTCCTTTAAATGTTCCTCATGTGATAAAATGTGTAGCTTTGTTGGTTATTCCTGCATTTATTTCCTCTTCACTTTTTCCACCAGCCCTGATTTCCAAGTGGGACTCCCTGTGGTACTGGATAAGCTGATCCCCTCCCTGCTCCAAGGGTGGAGTTCCCGGCCAGGGCTAACACTCCATTCTCCTGGCCACAGTGATAGCCACAGGGGTAGGCACTTGACTTAAGCCAGTCAAGTTAGAGTAAATCTCAAGACATTAATGCATTGGTTCTAAGGTGTGAGATGGGGGTAAGGATTCTTGGGACCTTGGGAGTATTGACATCTGCCTTAGGCCATGAAGGGAAGGGCCTATACCCAAAATGGTATAGGCGCCAACACCCAAAAAGGAGACAGAGAGAAAAATCTCAGTCCTGGTTGCATCAGGTGAACCTACAGCAAAGCTTTGTCTTAGAACAATTTTACTTCACAACTTTGTGGTTTCAGTTGCATGTGTCCAATTCTTACGTTTGCTTAGCTCAGTTTGATTCTAGTGTTTTGTTCCTTGCAACTAAATATATCCTGACTGATACATGTGAGATGGTGTTGTTATGGTTGCCTTCCCTTGGACAAGCTCCAGATTGTCAATGACCCTCTTCCAAGAGCCCCAGAAGAAAAACCTATTATTCTAGATGGAGCCTGACTAGTACAGGTCAGAGAGGGCCTCTCATGAGACTGGACTCAATCTGAGACTGGCATCGGAATTTTGAGCATCCCAATTCCAATTACTCTCACCAGTAAACTACCTATTTTCCCAAACAATTTACCCAAGTGTAACTTAAACCCTAAATACCAGGCCCTTGTAAGGAAAAAGAGAAAAGTATATTTCAGAATATACTTTCTACCTCTTCCTTCCCTACAGAAAGGCCCAATCCCTGCTGGTTCTACTTTATCTTTCAAAATAGAATCACCAAGTCCCTTCTTCAATTTTGTCACATATAGGGTTAAAAAAAAATCTGCAGGTTTTTAAGTATAATCACTATACCTGAATACTTTGATAAGCAAAGTGACTACAGTGTTCTGCAACCTTGTGGAATGATTGCTCCCTAATTACAATGAGCTCCAGGGGTTTCATCTAGGAAAGAAGACAGTGACTGGTCCTCAAGAGGCCTCTGGGGGGATATTTCCCTGGTAACTATACAAAGGTCCGGGTTTGGACCTCAGCTGGGAAAGTTCACAAACTAGATTTTCCGAGTGTATCCCCAGAGGTGCAGACTCAATGATACACTCACACAGGGTGGATGTATAAATCATAATACCAGTGCATTCATTTTTAATTGGAGATGAGCTTTTGCAGCAGGAAACAGATGACCTTAATCTCATTCAGAATACCACACCCTCTTTCCTGAGAACATATACCTGAAAAGTTGGATTAATAATCAAGACACTTTCTGGGTGAGGATGGAATTAAGAGAAGTTGATTGTCTTGAGGACTTTTTCACTACTCAGGTCATGGTTGACCCTGATCAAATATTTCCTTACATGGTTACATGGGGGAAACATATCTCTCTAGGGGCCAGAAGGACTATGACGTGGATCCACATTGCCAAATTGTTCTTTGCAAAATAACAACAGTTAATGTTTATACATGGTGCTTACCCTGTGGTCCATCGCTATTCCAGACTTCTTATCAATTAACTAACCTAATCTTTATAATGAACCTTAGAGATTTTTGTTATCAGCTTCATTTTAGAGATGGCAACCATGAGTCACAATGGGGTGAATAATTAAAAGTTGCATTGTTAACTGGGTGGTAAAGCTAGATCCCCAGGTTGCCTGGCTCCAGAGTCCATGCTTTAAATGATTATGCTACACTACCACCACCACCCCACCTTTTTTTGGCTCTGCTAGGTCTTCATTGAAGTGCGAGGGGGCTTCTGTAGTTGCAGTTGTGGCCTGAGGGCTTAGTTACCCGGTGGCATGTGGGATATTAGTTCCCTGACCAGGGATTGAACCAGCATCCCCTGCATTGGGAGGCGAATTCTTAACCACTGGACCACCAGAGAAATCCCTACACTGCCTCTTGAACATTGTGTTCTTTTATGCTACACACACATCTCTGTTGCTACATCCTACATGCTACATGGGTTACTTCATATCCTATTTGACACCATTCTCTATAAATCTGATTCCTTACAATACTGTGTCTCTGAAATATTTTTCTTAAAAAGTTATATATGTATGTGTTAGTGCTAGTCCCTCAGTCGTGTCCAACTATTTGCAACCCCTTGGACTGTAGCCTACCGGCTCTTCTGTCCGTGAAATTCTCCAGGCAAGAACACTGGAGTGGGTTGCCATTCCCTTCTCCAGGGGATCTTCCTGACTCGGGGATCGAACCCAGGTCTCTTGTATTGCAGGCGGAGTCTTTACCATCTGAGCCACCAGGGAAACCCAATATATGTGTGTATATATAGACATATGTATATAGAGAAATTTTAAAGAAAAATAGCATATACCATATATGTGGTGTGTGTTTATAAAATCCTTACTGCTGCCTCTATATATACCAACAAATATGAGCAAAACCATGTACGTATTCGGCGGTTGGCCAGGAGGACAGGAACTTTGTTATATTGAACTAGACAGCATGATGATAGCTGTTAAAATAGCATTCTGCCTATACTTAATCTTTCTCCAAAAAAGGAAATATTTAGTTTCATGGAGGTATTTAATAGTTACAGCAAGAAACACTAGAAAGGAATGAGGAACGTGTATTGGCCTAATGCTCGAAAGTGATGCTACAGTCAGAGGCAGCCCCTCCTGAATAAGGCTCGAGGCAGCACACCCTCCGTCACTCTGCGTTGCCACAAAAGGCCCCGGTCAGGGCTGGATTTTACTAAGCTAGTCACATCCTTGTTTCACAGGGATTATTTAAAAACAACTATGATTTTAAGAAAGATTCCCTTGTTACTTTCTTTTTTTAAAATCTAGTATTTTTAAAAAATAGATTAAAAATTCATATGATTCCAAAACCCAAATGTACAAAAGTTTATATAGTTAAAAAAAAAAAAAAAAGAATGTCTCTCCTATGCCTAAACCCCTGAAACTTAGTTTCCCTCTTGGGAGGCAATTATCAGTTCTTTATTTATCTTTCTAGAGGTATTCTATTATCATTTTCTTTTACTGTCACATTTTCCCCCACTGGGACGTTATTGGAAACTTTTTATCTTGTTTTTGCCACGGTTTCCTCTCTTTCTTTCCTGTTTCTTTTTACAGAAGGCAAGGTTGACCTTCCCTGGGGACCTTCTTCGAAATGTCAACTTCTTATTGATGGATATTGGTTTTATCCTGTTTCCAACTCCAGTTTCTGCTCTGGTTAGGAGTCAGTTTGTGTGTGACAGCTGGGGGTCCCAGGCACCTTCCGATGAATGATGGATGGGACCAGGCGGAGCAACCCTTCCCTAATATTATTAATTGCGAGATTTTTGCAAGCTCAAAATTCTAAGAACTGACAGTTGCCTCCAACTGTTACCAGCTGTTAATTTGGCTGAAGTGGTGGGAATCTGATTCCCCTCCAGCAAACACTCTGGGACAATGGCTGGCTTACTATGTATCTTCCTTTATACCCTCTGTGACACTCAATTCTGAATTATTTAAGCCTAAAAATAATATTCTAAACCTATTCCAGAGTGCCCACATCTAC